AATTATCTCAACATTATAAATATTTTGCATGTGAAATTTCAAAATTTTCTGATGCATAAAAGTATTTTTAATCTTAAAATGAATATTGCTTTGCATGATAGATAGGCAACATGTGAAAAGAAAAAATAGATATGAGAAAAACGTTTATAACCTTAAGACTTAATAAAAAAGTTTATTTTGCATTTGAAAGCATTGTATTGTTTACTGATAATCTGTCAAATTTGAAAGTTATAGCATGAAAACTATAACAGGCACAAAATGGTTACGAGGTCGGTCCAAAGGGATCGAGCTTGTGCTTAAAGAGTTAGTCATAAATATAGCTTTACTTAAACTTTTGGAAATTCCATTATAAAAATACATTATTGTAGTTGTAGCTTTAAAGTATCTGTGAACTTAAAGAAAGTGCAGATAATAAATTTCTTTTTTTATTCAATCCTATAAATTTGAAGTAAATGTTAATTCAATTTTGCAGAAGAAACTTGAGGGACCCAATTGCCTATGAAACTCTTACCAGTATGTATGACAAGCTTTCCCATGTAATGTTCTGAGCTTGTTTTATTTAAAACTGCAGTTCACAGCTGGTCACGTTTTTCTCTCTAGATTTTTTAAAACTGAGGTAGCTGTAATTAGCTTTTATCTATTTAAGATATATAAATTATGTTATCAGAATGTGTGTTGTGTGGGTAAAAATGTTACAATAATATAATTTGGGAAAATGGATGCCTGTCCATCAGGATTGCATCTGGCTGAGCCAGTTTTTTTATCATGGTCAGCTCTGTATAGCTGTACCTAGAGTACATGGTCATTTGTTCAGTTAGAAATTTTTGTTCCTGAAGGTGCAAATATGAATTGAATAGTCTGTTGTTTGAGACTGTGGCTTTAAATACCATAACTCTTTATACTTTGTTGAATTTTGACACACTATCTTTGCAGAATAATATAATATTTAGAAAAAAGATGTCTGTCCATTTACTGTTTTTGAATATGAAGGAAGGGAGAAAAAGAAATATCAAAAAACAATTGTACAGGGGGTTCAAAAAAATCTGGAACCATAGTACTTCAACATATTTTCCATGCGCTGTCCCTGTAATTGAACACAAGTTTGGATTAAAAGCAGGACTGACTCGACCTTCTCAGCTTTGACAGCACCATAATTAGTCATGTACTTGAAATTAAGCTGCAAATAATTTATGGTTCCAGACTTTTCAGACACCCTGTATGTATAGGTGTAAGGCCAACTAAGTGTCCTTTGTGGGTGCATGTTAATTTCTGTGTATGTGTTGCTGAAATTAAAAACTTTTCTACTGCAAAATTTTATATCATAATTATTTTGTTATGCTGTAGCATCAAAATGATTTTTAAAAGCCAATTTTCAGAGTATTGTTTGAGTTGATTTATGATGATAAAAAATGTTACATTTTAAAGAAAAATGCACATGCAATATGCATGTTTGGACATGTTTTGTTGAGTTCTGAGAATTCAAGTGCAAAAGCATGGATTACTGATTCAGACTTTTCAAAGAGGGCTGTTAAAAAGTCATTCTGTTGTTAACAAGTGCATAATCAGGGATGACTAATGGAAAGCTTTGAAGGTGGGGTGAGTACTTACAATATCAGCATTGTCATAGATGGATTTTAGTTTTAAAAGAATACTTAGAAAGCTGATATCTTAGTGGACAAAATCAATTTTTTTTGTTTTAGGTAAGAATGCAAATTGAGTGAAATACCACATCTCTGTATATTTTCATGAATTTTGACAAATTATTTTTATTTTTTAGATTAAAAAATGAAACTTTCTTTATTTTGGGTAATATAGATTTCTTTTTTTTACACTCCAGTTATGGATTGGATTTTTTTTATTATTATAACTATTTCTCTGGGTACTAAAATAAAAGTTAATTTTGATTGAAGATATTTTTTACCATTAGGTGTTTGATCAAGAATTGGATGCACTAGAAATAGAAACTGTTCAAAAAGAAACCATTCATCCAAGGAAGTCTTACAAAATGAACAGTTCTTGTGCCGACATTTTGTTGTTTGCTGCTTACAAATGGAATGTGTCAAGGCCATCCCTTTTGGCTGACTCTAAGTAAGTATTTCATTATAACGTTTTGAATAAAAAGAAAAGAAATCGTACGTCAGTATATCTAAGAACGTAATTCATCTGGTTCTTATCTTCAAGACTGATCAGAACATCACAGTAAAAACAATAAATCATGGTGATTATTACATATTTGGAATTAGATTGTTTTTCAGGTTGCAGTGTCATATACCCATCTGTAAGAATGGAACTACTTCCTTCAAATTTCTCTTTATCCCTGACTAATTCTTTTCCATTAGTTTATTACTAATTGTAATGTTTTTGTGTGATTAAAGTATTCCATGAATGTAAAATTAAGTCAAACTTTATTTGAACATCAGTTTTTAAAATTATATGAAGTATGTTTATTGTCATGGATTTTCCAGAGACACCATGGATGGTACCACAACACAGAAGTATTGGATAGATGTGCAGCTTCGATGGGGTGACTATGACTCTCATGACATAGAACGTTATGCCAGAGCCAAGTTTTTGGATTACACAACTGACAACATGAGTATCTATCCATCACCAACTGGCTTATTAATTGCTATTGACTTGGCTTACAATCTCCACAGGTAAATTGAAGAGATTCAACTTTAAACATTGTTTATTAGAAGTGTTCATATCTGACCATCTAGCTATAAAAGACAAGAAAAAACTGATTCCAATCTTTTGGTGACCATACAGCTTGCATTCATGAGGAAAATTACACTTCCTACCACCCAATAGTAAGAAAAAACAAAACCTTTATTCCAATAACTGATGCCAGAGCTTAGTAAATGACAACTAATAAAAGACATAGAAGACATTTTTTTACCATGAGGTGTTTAATCAAGTATTGGATGCACTAGGAGTAGAAACTGTTCAAAAAGAAACCATTCTTCCAAGGAAGTCTTACAAAATGAACAGTTCTTGACACTTCTTTGACTATACATCTTACGTTGATTAGGAATAATTATGCTGACACAAATCATTTAGGAAAAAGGATGTTGATAACAAAGTGTTCACCAAAATGTCTAGATAATAGTTTTTTGTAATTTTACTACTGGTTGATGTAAAATATGAATGTTTCTAGTAATAGCTTAACCAAACCAAATAACATACAAGGTATTATAAATATTGGTTTTATTTGTTTCTAACATTCAACTTCTGTTGTAAGATTTTGTTTTTGAATGGTTGTTTTTCTGCAAGATTTTTCAGTGAAAAAATGTGATAGTGAGCACGTTACTAAAGGTTTAGTGATGTATTTAGAACAGAAAAGAAAAATATAATCATTGTTCAGTTTGACCTGTTAGTAAAAATCTCAAATTAATTTCTTTGCTCATACAGTTTTTTGATTGAAACATTGATTTTTGTAAGAATTTTTGATTTTTATTTTGTAGTGCATATGGCAACTGGTACCCTGGATGCAAACCTCTCATTCAACAAGCCATGGCTAAAATCATGAAAGCTAATCCTGCTCTCTATGTGCTACGAGAAAGAATTCGAAAGGGGTTGCAGCTGTACTCCTCTGAGCCAACTGAACCATATCTGTCTTCTCAGAATTATGGAGAACTGTTTTCTAATCAGATCATTTGGTTTGTGGATGACACTAACGTATATCGTGTAACCATTCATAAGGTAGGAATGTGTTTATTGAAACTGCTACAATGAAGTTAATGTAATGACATGTTTTTCATTTTGAGGATGTAACATTTCAAACGTTTCTAATACATTTATTAATACCAAATATGGATTCCTCATTTTAAGTATCTTAATTGTTTTAACTTTTTGACTTTTATCACTTCAAGCTTTGGTAATGTTAATGAAATGTGTCACAAATGTTTTAGTTTGTTTGAAGTTTTTTATTTCAAGGGAGTTGTAGAATCTTCTTCAATAAAAAAAAAAGGCATAAGAACCCTAAAAAAGATAAGTCTGGGAAAGATTTGACTTGTTTTATTAAAATGGTTACTAATGCCATATTAACTAACTTTAAGAACAAATACCCATACACATTTGTAAGTATTCTTGTTTAGGCTATAAATTGAGGTCAGTTTATGACATGTCACAGTAGTACAGTTTGTTGATGACTACTACTACATGTTTAGGACAGTTGCATGCACTTGACCATTTATATCCTGTGTGATGCTCAATGTCACATGGCTTGGTAAGAGTGCTATATGAAAATTTTCTCATGCACCCTGCTCTGACAATAGATTCAGAATCAGGGCTATCAGTGAAAGACAAGTACTTAGTACTTTATCAACACATTTTTGAATCTTGAGTTTATTAACCCATTAACTGCGGATGACTGATATTTCCGTCATTGAAGTTCTATAGCTCAGCTGTGAATGATGGAAATATCTGTCAATCGCACACATATATAACTATAACTCTATGCGAATGACGATAATTACTGTTTTATTGTGATTGATGGCAGCTCAATTTTATCTGCGAGTCAGAAAACGGCAACTGAGCTGCTCCTGCAGCATTTAATGGGTTAAAGTTCATAAATATTTTCGTTCACTATTATGAATGTAGGTGATTTTTTTATTTGCTTTCCAAGTTATTCAAGAACTTAATATAAATGCTTGTTTTTGTTTAGTTTTCTCAGTCTTGTTCAGAATTGTGTGATAGGCTTATTTTATTATAAACCAAAGTTACATTAAAAGAGTAAGTATTAAGAGCTTGTACTGAAATGAAATTGGGAGTACATTTTAAATTCTTTTTCATCTCTTCTACTTAATTAGGTAGGTATATAAATCTATCTACAGTATTCATTTTAAAACTTGTTTGAAGCATTTGTGTTGAATTAGATGTTTAAAAATCTGTGTTTTTTCCTTTCTTTCAGACTTTCGAAGGTAACTTGACCACTAAGCCCATCAATGGAGCCATCTTCATCTTCAACCCCAGAACTGGACAGTTATTCTTGAAGATCATTCACACATCGGTTTGGGCTGGACAAAAACGTCTGGGTCAGGTATGTTTTTTCTTCTGCATTAAAAAGTGATTGTATGAGGTTACTTTTTATTTTCATCATGGAGGATATGTTGAATTTATTTGTGTTTTTGTTAGTACAACAGTGTTTGACAATAAACTTAATGATAAATTCTAACTTACGCTTACGTACTCCTGATTGAAAACTAAAACAATATTTGAACTTCTGATGTTTACCCAGTAGTAAGAACACTAATATGTAGAGTGTTGGCATACTTATAATAATAATAAAGATCCAAGCTAAAAATACTTGATTTTGGCTTTTTTAGGTGTGCAAGATATGTAAAAAAATATAGAATAAACAACTTTGTATAAAGAAAACATTTATGACTGAGTTTGCAATTATTAATAATGAACAAGTAATATTTATGTTATGACTTTTTTTTTCTATTTGTATACTTTATATCTGAACTGTACAAAGTGGATGTTTTTGTAATTTTTTTTAACTGCCTTTACTTTTGTATAAGTTGTATACAAAATTCTGTACCACTGATTCTGGCAACCATAAATAATAGATTTTGCTCTAATTTATATAAAAAGTATACTCTTATTATTGTGGTTATTTGTTACTTGATTGATAATTTAAATAATTTTGTATCACAATATTAGCTTGCTAAGTGGAAGACTGCAGAAGAAGTGGCTGCTCTCATTAGATCCCTACCAGTAGAAGAACAGCCCAAACAGATTATTGTAACCAGAAAAGGAATGTTAGATCCTTTGGAAGTAAGTGTGTTTATAATCTGATATGTACTTTTATCTAGTGACTTATTTAAGTGTTCCAGCTTTTCCCATAGGTTTTTAATCTGATGTATCACTTTTCTAGTTTCATATAGATAGGTACATCTATTGAAATTACCATACATTTTGTCTTTTTTTTGTTTGCTTACACTTGTACATTTAACGTATTTTCCAGACTTTATGTTGATTTAACTTTTCTAATAGGACTTTATTCATAGGTGCATTTGCTGAGTTTTCTAAACATTATTTATCACTCTGTTAATAGATGCATCTTCTGTTTAAACTTTGCAGGTACATCTGTTGGACTTTCCAAACATTGTAATCAAGGGAAGTGAATTGCAGCTCCCATTCCAAGCGTGTCTAAAGGTTGAAAAATTTGGTGATTTGATTCTTAAAGCCACAGAGCCCCAGATGGTTTTGTTCAACTTGTATGATGATTGGCTGAAGACTATTTCATCATACACGGTAAATGGAAAGTTTTTTGTTCAACTAGGTTTATAAAAAAAACATATAATATACATCTGGTTGGAGCAAGTGTTGAGTGTCTATTGTTATAGCAAATTT